TTTTATTTGCATACATTAAAGATTTTTGAAAAAAAAATAGTAGGATCTCATTGTTAAAGCCAAGGAGTTCAAGGAAAAACTGTGTCTTTTTCTGATTTTTGAACAGCAATGTTTTTATTTTGTTGTAATAAACTAAAACGATTTACGATAAAACGTCATTGGAAATTTGTCAAAAAATGCTTCAGTGAGTCGTTGATTTGTCTAAACATTTCTGCTGTCACATCGCCGCTATCTGACTTTGCACCGCCTTTCCTTTCGGAAGCAAATAGCAAATATTTTGCTTAATTTAAAGTGAGATTACAGTAGTAATAATTTTTTTTAAAGCAGTACATAATTTAAAGATTTTTTAAAACTTAGGTTGTATTAACATCTAAGGAAATTTTCCAGTTTAAGCTGTAATACATTAACGGCTCAATTTAAGAAAGTTCCTTCTAATATAGGCTAAAGACATTTATGTTTTGTACTTTCAGTTAAAGTAATTAACTACTCACTGCAATTTTTCATGGCGAAAAATGTGTAACATTTTTATAATGTATTTGAAATATGGTAAGTAAATACCTTGAAATATGAGTTACTGCAAGTAATATTTTTACTTTTAGCAATAAAATGTAAAAAGGGCGAGACGGCAGTTCGTCTCGCCAGGGCCGAAAAGCATCAAGTTCCAATATGTCCGACGATAACAATTTATGAGAGTAGGAAGAAGAAACCTGAAATTCCGTCACAGCTGGCGTTCGATACATTCACATGCGATGCTCTGATATGCCGCAGATGTCGCTGTGAAAGTGGATTTATGCTTTCGAATTCATCATCAAATGCAGAATGTGTCCAAATCTGTCCCATAACAAAAAAAATTTCTATCGCTTGTGAACGCGGTGATGTCATTTGTTAGAGTTTTTTGCTTGTGTAACCAAAGATCTTGCAATAAAAAATTTATTTAAACTTTCCGGGCTCTTTTTCTCGGTTCAGAGCATCGGTTACTGTTAAAAAACTATAGCGAAGTAAAGAAGGCGCTAAATTTTGAGCTTATAATTTTATGTCCGTGGCTTGACGGGCAAACAAATTTACTTTAATTTTATTCTACTGCGTTATATCAGTTAAAAAAAAAAAATGAAGAATAATATAAGTTAAACTACACCTCCATTGTCGCTAGACTTAGTATAATCTATTCGTTATGGTTTTTTTTTTATTTCACTGCTACATGTATTTTGTACAAAAAGTTGATGAACCAGCATACTGTTTCTGATGTTCACCACCGTCTGTTACAGCTAAAATTACAAATGTCTCGTTTAACGCTAAGATGACTGAGTGTAATTTTATGGTGATCAAAAACAACACTGATACAACCACTGAAAAGTTCTGTAATTAAACCAAAAAAAAATTAGAAGAAAGGTTGCTGTAAAAGTTGGCTTCTTTACAATACTGGAAACCAGGCAGTTGTAAAGGCTTAGTTTGTTCCACTTGTATGCAAGTTTTGCAAGACTATCATATTAACGGTTCATTTGCTAACAGACATTCTATCAGTGCAGTAAGCGAGTCAGACAAAGAACTGCACAATCTATCATTTTTCTGAATTTCCTATTCTACGTAGAAATTTCGTTGTTTTTTTGTTCTCAAATTATATGGTTCAAAAATCTTACATCTCAGATCTGATAATAGCAATAGTTAGCAGTTACACTTAATTAGAATATATTCTGAAGTTAAGGCGATTGGTAGAAGAAGAAAAAAAAACTTTGTCACTGCAATATTTTAGCAAATCTAATACCACAGTCGATCGTCGTACTATCTGTTTTCTTTTAAAGGCAACTAGAGCTCTGGAAAAAAAAAGAATATCTTTTTCTTTTTAACGGCAATTTGCAGTAAACAATAATGAAAAAATTAAAAAATTTTTCAACTTCTGAACAAATATTAATATCACGTTTTTTTTCTATTTTTTATTTTTTGTTTTAAAAGTGGATAAAAAACAGTGTTTTGTTTTTTGTAAGGATGAAAAAAGTTAATAAGAGAGATTTGAAGTATTATATAAATTAATAAGAGCAGTAAAATACTGCTTAAAAATTATTGTCAATCTTTTTGCATATTTATTTTGTTAATTCATTTAAAAAAGAAGAAAAAACGTCGAATAATGATAAGGAAAATAAGTGCTGAAAGAGAGTGAAACTGAAGTAAGGGCTTTAAGGGGAAGAACGATGCAAAAATAGCAGTTATAATTCATTGGCACACTGTTAACTGTCTTTCACCGTTTCTTTTTCATTTGTATATTTCAGATGAAACCAATTCAGTTCTATTGTAAACTGTTGCTTCTAAATTTTTTTTTCTTGATTTTTATTTACTATCTTTTTTAGCACATTTATAATAACTCTAAACATTTGCTTTCAAAAGTGCATTACTATTTGCAGCAATTTATTTTTGGTTGCGCAGAAAAAGAAAGAGGATAATCGTTTTTTAGATTAACAAAGTTAAAAATTTTGAAAATTTTTAAGAAATGTTTCAAAAAAAAAATAATCAAAAAATTAACTTCAGTTCAAAGTTTGAAAAAAGAAAACAAAAAGAAACAATATGTTTAAAGAAGTGATCTTCCTGAAGTCAGTTTTTTATTGAGATGTCACTAGATGTGAATTTATCGCGACTTGGTACTCTATAGAGTAGTAAAATAGGTTTTTTTTACATTTTTTTAAACCCTTAAAAATTTTCTTTTGCTGCTTCTGTCGTTTTGCAATTTGAAATTTTTACATAAATTTTGCTTTACTTGGCAGATTTAGAAAAGTTTTTGTTTATTCTCACCAAAAAAAAAAAAAAGTACTGTAAGATTGGTTTTGGTTGAAGACAGCAGCCTTGTTACATCAGAGTTTATTGGTAAAAAATTGAGCAAAACAAATTAGAAAAATAGACTATTATACTAAATGTTAAATGCTTTAAAATGTCTTTGAGTTTTAACCAGGGAAACTAAACAGAAACATGAGTTGTCTGTATGCTACTTGTGTTTTAGAATACGAAGGAGGAACGAGTGACACCGTATGAATTGCTAACGATCAGCTATTTGCGATTTGTTGTTAGACAGTGTTGTATAAGCTTTTTGCTGTTTTTTAATAATTTTAATTTCTTTCTGTTAATCTCAACATTTAAAGATTGAGATCAAAGGTAATAAAACAAAAAATGAGTTACAAAATAAAAGCTTTGTACATATGCAAACTTTGGTTCTTTGAGATTCAAACTTTGGTGCTTCAAAGATTTGCGGGGGAAATTCAAAGTTCATTTTTTACTGTTGATTTGCAGACTACGAACAGTTCATCAGCAACACTGTCAAGCACTTCAGCGTCATATCTTTAAACGGTCTATACTTCAATGTGCAGTTCAAACTTTGTGATACACCTTTTTTTGACATTAATGCTGATACAATTCAAGGCGACTTTTTGATAACACGGCCAACAATTTATTATAGATTTCATCAACTATAATACATAACACATAGTACGTTGATGATAAGAACAGTGGTGAACTCTGGCTTAGAACGGTTTGGAAACTATTTATTGAAGCACACAACTGTAAAATATTTACATAGCAGCATTTAACAATATCACCCTTGTAGTTGCTGCCTAGCTGTTAGCTAAAACTACATTTTTTTTCGTTTATATTATACTGTGAATTCTGTAATCTTTCATTTTCTGAATAGGCTTTGCATAAGACAGAATCTTAAGAGTCTGAGTTCTAATGTGATCAAATTGTACCTTGTTCCTACTTTTGCAATGAGCTTTTTTAATATGATTTTCAAAACATTATCAGATGCAATAAGAATTAAGCAGACAAAATGAAAAACTTGAGTTGATTAATTGTGTTCTGTATTTCAAAGCAAAGTACTAAAAGCTTTATAGTTTAAAACATAGGTGTTTTTTTGTCATGTATAACCTTAGAGATGAATGGTCAAAGTACCATAACCCATATTAGCAGATTATTTTGAACAGCATAAAAAGATTTTTTGATGTACACTGTCAGTCATTGTATACAATTTTTTGCAGCTAAAAACAGTTTCTTCTCACTTTCATTGTTTTACCTATACTTTATATACAGACTTCTTCAGTATGGTAGCACACTTTAACTTTTTTTTTTTTTTTTTGGAACGATCGAATTGATAGCATCAAACTTAGAGAAATTATTGGAACTAAGACGTTTGTTTTATATATTACTTAGAAAAGTTATTGTGAAATCTTTATTGAAATTCTTGTTTATTAACTCCATTATTTTGCCAGTTTTCACAAATATAGTCCACTATGTTGGTCAGCGGTTTAGTAAGTGTAAAAGAAATTTGTCTGTTGAAACCCATAGCTGTATCGTTCGTAATGTATAGATTTTGTAGCTGATCAAAAAACTATATAAAGATTGTAAAATTAGTCTTAATGTTCAATAATTTAAGGGAACAAGTAAAACTTGATAAACGAACAGCAAACTAACCACGATGAATGTAAGTTGACATTTGTTTATAGATATTTTAGCATCTGTTGGCTATAATTTTTGTATATTTGATGTAATCAAACAAAGGATATGCATCCGTTAAAAAAGGTATTACATATTTAGTTCGAAGAAGCAGCTCAAAAGGTTAAAAAACTAAAAAAAAGTCCACCTGATGAGGTTTTTGGTAAATGCTACGGACTGTATAAGCAAGCAACAGTTGGTGACATTAATATCGATAAGCCGGGAGTTGCGGATTTGAAAGGAAAAGCCAAATTTAATGCATGGCAAAAAAATAAGGGTAAACATTTATGATGCATTCAGTATATAAAAATTAATACATAATTGGTTTTTATGATCGAAAAGCACAAATTAAAAAAAAAATTTTTTTTTAGGTACATTGAATTGGCAGTTTTAAAGCCACTGTTCACCATTATTTGAAACAAAAAAAAGCAATAAAAAGGAAATCATTCATCTATGGTTAAAGATAGCAGCTAAGCACCAGTAACTCAATGGTGTATTTGTTTCAGGAATGAGCAAAGATCAAGCTAAAAAGGAATATATTAAACTAGCTCAGGAACTTATCGACAAATATGGTATTAATGAATAAGACGACTAAACGATAGCTTCAACTGCTGTTTTCAATAAATTATGACAATTTTTGTAATATGAGTGAACATAATTTAAGCCATTTTTCTTTCTTTTACTTGTTTATTCACTAATTGTTTCTGATAGAAATAATTGTTTAGTAACTTAATTGTTATAAAAAACAAAAAGAATTTGTGCTTTTAAAATGTTCTAGTTTTACTTGCATTAGTTTAAATGATGTATAAAAGATGTTTCAGTTTTTATTTTTGGCAACCTTAACGGTTAAATAACCAATTTAAAATCAGACAGCAGTTCAGCATCATTGCATAAAATATACAACTGTAATTATCATCATTTTTTTTTTGGCAAATATTCATAAGCATTCTATTAACAACTAAGCGACTTAGTTTAATTACTAATATCATTTGAAAACAAAAGGAAAAAACAATATAAATGCCACTTTCACAGCACAAATTTAACAGTTATCATAATTGCACACTATTTTGTTTATAGTAACTTTGAAAAAAGAAAAAAAAAAGCAGTTAGCTGGATATGCGTAGAAAATTTGCAATATGCAATTTCCAGTCAACATTCTTGACTCAAACTATTCAAGTCACTCTTGTTTTCAAACAGAAAGCTGATCAAAAAAAAAAAAATCTATTTTTATCTTTCCTCTTTTCTATTCTGATTGCTACAGCAACAGTGGCTGGTCAAACAAATTCTACCTTTGAAAAAGACGATCTAAACAAATATCTATGGTCATCTGGTCTAAAGTTTTGCAAGAAAAAAAAAAAGAGTAAACTTTCTTCATAAATTTTTCTCAGTTTACTTGTTATGCATTATTCATAGTGTTGACGT